CTATTATCTCAAGCTCGGCATCTCTATGCACAAGGATGGCAACTCCTCCTCTGGTGCCTTGACCGGGCGACCAGATTTGGGGGCCGTCCCACCAGGTCCCTATTCGTTAATTCTCTCCTCACTTAACTTAGTTCGCAGTCAGGATGGCTGCATATAGACCGATGTCTTTTGTCGTTTAGCGGGCGGTTTCCATATGGGGAATGTCGTGGACCAGGTAAAGGGGCTTAGAGGGCGTCGTTGCACGATTAATAGGGTTGCGGTCGCCAACCGGGCACCGACCGGTAGTCTTGTGAGGGAACCCGACGGCTGTCGTGGGAAATGGTGGTGCGCGTCTGGTCAGTTCGCCCTTTCTACAATGGGAAAGGTTTTCATGATGATTATCTGGCCGTTCGTTCTCCACGGAAATCGACGGGACCGGTTTTTGTTTTGGTCTGGCAAAATATGACAATGTTTCTGTCCTCATTCTAGGGAAGTGTTCGGTCCCATTTTGCCCCTTTTTTTTGCCTTTTTTTTGGGCATTCCTCTACGATTTTTTGTTGCCCTCTTTCCAGGGGCCAAGTCCCACTAGCAGCGTTGAGCTACCTCAACGCCTGAATCTGGACGCGATTGTGGAGATGTGCAGAAATGGTGTTGAGTTTCCTGAACTGCACAGCACGTCCAGATTCAGGCGTTGAAGTAGCTCAAGGCTGCTAGTGGGACTTGGCTCCAGCTCGCCTCGATTTCTCATTTTTTTCGCCTTTTTTTTTTTTTTTTTTTTTTTTTTTTTTAAMAAAGTTGCAGTYTTTACATTAATAAACCAAAGTAGGCCGGTAATCCCTCCACATCTCAACCCGGAGTAATCAGTGCCTTGTCCCACCATGGTAGTTTTGCTGGAAACCGGGTCCAGCGTCCCTGAACTACAAGCTTATAAATAAACGAGCAGCTGGACTAATACACAAACTGTCAAAGAGCAAAGAAGGTGACTATCTGTTGATATCGTTAAAAATTATGTGGCTCTGTAACCACCTGCCCTGTTCCCTCTCAGCTATAAGCTGCCAGTTGTGGAGGATGACGGACTTGGATAAGACAGGTGGCCCCACAATGACTGTGTGTAAAAAATGTTGTTGTCTGCCGTAAGGCCCGCCCACTTGAAAGGGATGGACCACTTATGCTCGAAAATTTCTTTGGCTAAATCTATAGAAGCACATTGACGCTTAACTTTGAACCATTCTGTTGAAATCTCCGTTCTCACCGAGTGTCTAAAAATGACTAGTAGCGATGAGAGGGAGGGTTTAGAGTTGGAGAATCTTTTGTCACGCCTTGCTATCCATAATACCCAGAATGCTCTTCTTCTAAAGACCTGTGTCACTATGCCCGCCTGCTGATTGCTGAGAGGTTCGAGCACCCTGCCCGTGAGCACAAAATCTTGATTCCATAATTCTGTCGTAGAGTAAGCTTCTTCCTATAAGGAATTGAGAAACTCCCAGAAACCTCTCGCAATGATGCACTCCCACCAAAGATGTAGCCAGTCTTCCAGGGAAGGGTGGGGGCAGGCGTCGCGTATTGTTGAGATTTCCATTCCTTTTTCTGAACACCACAGGGCAGTAAGAACACAGGAGTGAAGGTGAAGCGATTGGAGACCTTCTACTTTTTTTTTTTTTTTTTTTTTTTTTTTTTTTTTTTTTTTTTTTTTACACTCTTCTCTCAACTTCTGTTTTTTTTACCTTCCATTACCTACTCCTAAGACTATCTAGAGGGTACCCCTGCAAGCATAGTTTTCCTAGACCTCCTACTTTTGTCTCCAGTGAAGAAATAATTAGTTGAATAAAGAATAGTACCCAAGAGGGAGAAATGGGATTTAGCTTTAATGATGTTATCCTGTGTTGCCAGTTAACTATCAGGCCAGCTTGGACAAAGTGGGCCTGTGATTGAATACTATAGCCTATTTTGGCAGTGTAATTACTTATCGGTACTTATTGAGCTCCTTACCGGGGCTCGGGATTTTCCATCCTATTCTATTTATATCTGCTTTCCAAATCTGGTAGCTATTGAAGAGAGTAGAGATCCTATAGGAACCATCCGAGTCCTGCTGTACTGTCACGTCCCGCATGCCATCCAAACTAGAGATCGTTTGTGGTTTAACTTGCTGAAGAATTGAATCTCTCTGTTCCCATTCTGAGGCCTCCGTTGATCCGTCAGCACCGACCTTATCCACCCTGAAGAAACGAGCCTCGTTGGCTGGGTCCTTGAGCCACTATTGTTCCCTGTAAGTCGTTGTAGGTTGAGACAGGATCATGATCCACTTTGTAGGGATTGCAGCAATCACTGACGCCAGATGTCTGTCAACTTGATGTAGGCCTGCCAATTTTTGTCTGAGTTGAGTCGCATTCTTCGAGTTTTTCCTGTCCGTGTCCCAGATGTGCCGCACCAGCCAGATGCCTCGTTGCATCCATTTCCTGCCGAAGTTACCTGGGCCCTTTGCCACTGAGAATTGGGACCCTGCTTGGTTAGTAATCATGTTATTTTCAAACAGACAGGAATTGAGAATTTCCTCCATGGAGGAGGGTTCCTCTAGAGCTTGGGGGAACATTTTTCCCCAGGCCCCGAGGATCCCTTCCCAAGTTTTAGTCGAGGGGCGGGTTGTGAAGGGCTTCATTAGTAGAGCTTGCCATACCGCTTCCGGGTCCGAAAGTTCCCATCGGTCTGCTAAAGAGTGTTGGGCCAGAGCAATCCATGGTTGGTTTTCCTGAACAGTCGGTGCTCTTATTGGCTATTTCGCCAGTAGTGCTCTGTTCTGGGCTTCGGGGTCTAGTAGCCCCATGGCACCCGCTTTCCTCTTCTCTGTTATTTTTGACCAACTGACCTTCGACAGAACTGAATGGGCTTCCGAATTCCCTTTCCACAGAAAGCGGGATAGGAAACGTCTGATATTTGCAATAATGTTTGGTGGTAGCGCATAAATGGATAGAATAAACCACAGTTTGGAGGAAATGAAAGTATTTGTTACCATTGCTCTTCCGAATAGCGACAAGAATCTGGTTTTAGACCAACTCGCGCATGTATCTCTGATTTTATTTTCTATTATTGAATTCTGTACCGCGTTAGAGTCCCCAAAAGAGATCTGGATCCCCAAGTACCTCTCGACTGCTGCGCGGGGCTTGATTGTTATACCCAGGTCCAAAGCTAAAGGTTCTCCATTGGGGGTGAGGACCACTGACTTTTGCCAGCTGACTCTCATCTCCGAAGCCAATTCGTATGCAGACAGGCATTGTTCCAAGGCTGATAATGATGCAACTGAGTTCTCTGAAATGGCTGAAAAATCGTCTAGTGCTGAGACTTTGATAGAATATGAGGGAGAGATCTGTAGGCCCTCGTAATCTGGATGGTGTCTAACCATGTTCAGGAGAATTTCCAGTTGAATCACAAACAGGGACGGGGCCAAAGGGCAGCCCTGTCGCAAGGATCTAGTGACTTTAAAGGGGGAAGAGGGAAAACCGTTTACTAGAACCCTGCCTGTCGACGCCCCATATAAGGCTTTTACAAAGGATCTGAATTTGGGGCCTATTCCTACTCTTTCCCAGACTGCCTGTACAAAATCCCAGTTAACCCTATCATATGCCTTCTGAAAATCTATTAGGATGACAGTCTTGTTCAAGTTGTGATGGTTAATCCAATCCAGAGATTGCGATATAGTCATAACATTATCTAAGACGTGCCTCCCTGGTACGAAACCAGATTGGTCGGGTTGTACTAGCTTGTTTAGTAGAGGTTTTATTCGGAGAGCTAATGTTTTAGCAAGGATCTTGCCATGAACATTAAGTAGTGAAATAGGTCTGTAGTTACGGACGTCCGTTTTGTCCCCTTTTTTATAGAGTTGGGTGATGATTCCTTCTGCGGTACTTGGGCCGAGTGGGTTATCCGTCAGGATCTGATTAAATACTCTGAGAATGTCGGGAGCCAGAAGAGTCCAAAAACGAAGGTAGAATTCTACCGGGAGTCCGTCCGGGCCCGGGCATTTGCCCTTAGCCATATTGTTTAGGGCTGTAGTGAGTTCAGACATAGTGATTGGTGATTCTAGTAGGGAGGATTGTTGATCAGATAGGGTTTTGGAGGTAGAGCTCCATAGAAAGTTTTCTAACCGAGGTGGGATGATGGGAGAATTAAGAGGTTTTTCCGAGGTAAGTAAATGTTGATAGAAGAGTTTGACATATTCACATAAGGTATTAGAGTCTTTAGCGGGAGGCATGGATGGGTCATCTGGGTGGTTTAGGGTAGTTTTCGCCTTTTCTAATTCTAATGCAAATGTGGAAACTCCTACGGTGCAAAATGAGACTGAATCCTTGGTTAGAACATGGAAAGATACATAGCCATCTTTCTTTTTTGGTTTTTTTTTTCAGGTTTTTTTTTTTACCTTGGAATTTTATTCCAAACGGGCCCAGTTGAGACTGAATCGTTTGGTAGAACATGGAAAGATACATCGCCATCTTCCTTTTTTTTTTTTTTTTTTTACACCTTGGAATTGGGCTGGTGGCCGGCCCACCGCCGTCCTGGCTGCGCCCCCACGCCCTAGAGTGGTATCAGTTTCCATTGCAGCAGGATTTGAAATCACGCCGCACGGCTCACCATTCTGCAAAATGAGAATGAATCTTCTGCCAGAATGTCGAAAGATACATTGTCTTTTTTACATTTTGTGTGTGGCACGTGGAGGTCCCTTTCTGATATTAGCAGTTCATGGTGTATCAGCCACATGGGCGGGGTCCTTTTCCCTTTTAGGCCGTTGCAGACTGTCAAGTATGAAAACGATGAAAAAAGACCGAACCCCAAGTCCTGTGAGATAATTGCTATCAGTGAAGATGTCCGCGAGTCGCAGCCGCCACTGGCCACTAGAACAACTGGCAAGTTCAGTCGAGCGCGCGCAGGTCACTAGAATGATTGCGACGTACAACCAGTCGAGCGCGCGTTAAGTTGTCGACCGATCGGTGGCGGCCGGCGAGGCCGGCGACAGGGTACGCTTACTGGCGGGGTGCAGCCACGTGGCAGATGAGTAAGAAGGCGTGGTAAAGGATTTCTGAGTGGTGACCTCTGTCGGCGCGCGCCCTTTCTGTGAGCCCGGGTCTCTCTCGTGTCTGCTTCCCGCTTTTTAGAAGGGAGGCGGCGATGGCCCAGTGCGGCTGCACCGCCACGGTGGCCGCGGTGGGAACGTCGAGCAGGCCCGGTATCCCACTCGGGGTTGCCCCGTGCATCGCGCGGGCGGGAGACGAAACGGTCCCGCGTCTTTTTCGGTCTTTTGAACCTGGCCGCGGCCTTGGCGCGCTGTTCGAGGGCAATGGGACGGCAATCAATGCACGCGGGTCATCCCCGATCCCGATCCCGATCCCGATCCGGACGCCGGTAATTAATTGGAGTAGCAGGTGGAGTATTAATAGACTCTGCTGTAGCAGTTGTGATCAGGTCAGCGGCGCGCGAGCATTCTCGGAGTCGTTGGACACGTCAACGGCGGATGCTTTCTGGGAGTTAGAGGAGTCCACCTGGCGCGGAGCAAGGAGGAGGAGGGGGGGGAGAGGCGGCGCGGAGGAACACGGAAGCTTCCGAGCAGCGATGGCTTTGAGGTCGTCGTTGAGATCGCCCATGCTATCGCCAGGATCATCGTCGTCTTTGAAGGCGCGCGCCAATGGGAGAGTGATGGAAAATGGGGAAGGGGCCGGAATTGCCGCGAGGACGAAGAGTGGAGTTGTGGCAGAGGAGGCGAAGTTGTGGGGTGGGCGTTTCGAGGAACCAGTCACACCTGCCGTTGAGAAATTTAGCCAATCAGTATCCTATGATCAACGGCTATGGAGGCAGGATCTCAAGGGCAGCCGCGCTCACGCCTCGATGCTCGCCCTGCAGGTGCTTGCCCTTTTATCATCTATTACCGTGTTTATGTACGGACTTTAGTATTATATATGATTTTGATTCGATGGATATGGGTAACATCGATGATTATTTATTTATGCATCGGCGTTTATCAGTATTTAGTCTTGATGTGGTTTATTTCGTGTGGACGTGTAACGTAGATGGATCTTCGCTTTGATAGATTTCCTGATGTGAGGTGAACATCCGGGCTGAACTCGTGATGAACGTTTATCAATCAACGTCGATCGGCTCATGTGCGTGTGTGTGTGTGTGTGTGTGTGTGTGTGTGTGTGTGTGTGTGTGTGTGTGTGTGTTGTCATGTTTGCTATACACAATGCCATAGAAAAGCATGATTGTGCCAGACTGTTCCGTCGGACTTTCACCGACTCATGAGGAGGTTGAACCTGGACAGACAGTCTGGCCAGGATGCGTTTGACTGATGGATAAGGACTCGTCATGTCGCCCGGAGTTAGGAATTCCCCTGAGAAAAGTGGTCGATTTTACTCACACCAATCCTGCAATCCTAGCAGAATGTCGGTCGAACCCCTGACAAGAATGGCAGTATGTCTGAGAAACTAGTGTGTCACAGCCATAAAACGCTCTCTACACACGTACTCAGCCATGGAATACCCATTGGCATGACCGCTAGTACGGTCCCGACCCTAGCCGCATCGATCTGCCTGAACGGAGAGCTTAGCAAAGCCGTGGTGTGTGTGTGTGTGTGTGTGTGTGTGTGTGTGTGTGTGTGGTGTCATCTTCGCTATACGCAACTCCACGAGAAAGCATGACTGGGCCAGACTGTTCGTCGGACCTTCAACCTCTAATCAGGAGGTTGAACCTGGACAGTCTGCTGAGGTGGCATTTAAGGACTGACCACGTCACCAGGAGTTAGCGATGCCCTTGAGAGAGAAAACTGGTCGACTTTTGCACACCCACCCTGCAATCCTAGCAAACTGTCGGTCCAACCCTGGCAATAACGGCGCTATGTGCAAGAAATTAGTTTGTCAGAGCCATAAAACCAACTCTACGAATGATATCCAGTGGCTCGACCGCTAGTACTGTTCGTCGACCTGGCTGAATCACTGCAATCCTCCTATCCCTCCTCCTCTTCCTGTTCTTCCTCATCTGCCTGCTCTCGTTTCTCCTCTTTTTTCCTCGTCTTCCTCGTCTTTCCCTCCTCTTCCTCCTCCTGCTCTTCCTTCTGCTCTTCCTCCTGCTTTTCCTCCTGCTCTTCCGCCTGTTCTTTTGTGATTATGGAGGCATGTCCTGAAAGATCCTATCTGTTATCATTGGATGCATCAATTGATCGGTAAGCCGGTTGTTGGCTTGACGGTTGCTGGGGGGGGGAGGAAAGAGAAAGAGAGAGAGAGAGAGAGAGAGAGAGAGAGAGAGAGAGAGAGAGAGAGAGAGAGAGAGAGAGAGAGAGAGAGAGAGAGAGAGAGAG